CAGCACGTGTCGCCTGGACTCTCAGCTGAACTCTCTGTCTTTCTCCAGGTAGAGAAAGGCCCCACACTGCCCATCCGCCTCCGTGCCACTGTGATTCAGCTGCTGCTCAGCCTCTCCAGGAACAGACTCCAGTTCCCCGATGTCCAGGTTGGGCAGTGCTGGTGTGAAACAGTCCGGCTTTACAACTGGTTCAGTGCGCCCTGTGAATGGTTCCTCACTGTCAACAAACCTGCCAAGAAGGTAAAGCACAGGGAAATGTAACAGGGAATGTTGGGTTTTCTTTGCACCTTCTGCCTTTTCTATGCCTGTGGCTGCCTGAGCACTTGGGCTACAGCGTGTTTGAGGAAGCTTTTGAGGGTCCAGATCAAGGCTGCTTTGCCTGGACCTGTTCCATTGGCTGATGCTTTGCTTCCCTGCCATCCTCACCCATTCCTCCTCCTCCTCTGAGGACAGGACGGTGGCTCCCCATCTGCTTGCCCTGCCTGCAGGTTGTCCCTCCAGTTCTAGACCGTGGGGGCCACGCCGGGTTTGCTGTGGGTGCTCTCAGCACCGGGACAGGATCTCGGAGCACTCCAGGAACCGAGGCTCTGTCCTCTCAGACCGAGGAGACCTCACACGACTGGTTTCTGTGCTCAGGTGGACAAACGTTTGACACCGGCCGTGCGTCAGAAGGAGCTCCAGGCTGCGAAGGATGATTCCCGTGTCTTTCAGTGGAAGGCCCGGGAGGGAACCCTCTATGGTAGAGAGTGGTGTGACCTGCAGATCCAGTTTTCCCCCCTGGAAGAGGTGAGATTGGCAGCTGTTGCCCCAGGAGCTCTGTCCGGGCAGGGTGGTAAGGAGAGCCCAACACAGGGAGTGGCAGATGAGCTCTTCCTCCACGAGCAGCTTTCAGGAAGCCCTGCACTCACTGGGCCTCAGTTTCCCCTGCAGCACACCCTTCTGAGAGGCGCCTTGAAATCCTCCCAGGGAACATCAGGGCACTGTGCTGTGGCTGCCTCTCTGCCCATGGGGGAGATCTGCCTGACTCCCTCGTCCTCCCCCTTGCCTGGTTGTATTTGCAGCCTGTGACGCTGGGTGCAGAGCAGCTGGCACAGTCACAGGGCATCAACCTGGAAGGGCCAATGCTGGCTCATCCTGCTGCTGGCACCAACAGACAAAACAGCCACCAGACACCTTCCTGGGCACGGCAGGACAGTCACCTGTAGTGGTGTGCTGCCAGCAGTCCCTGGGGCTCTGGCCCAGCCTGCCTGCACATTGCCGTGCAGCTGGGGAGTCGACTTCAAGGATGGAGCATTCCCAAAAGCCCTTTGCATGTGGCCACTGGGACTTGGAAACTGACAGGGTGTAACAGGAGGGACACAAGTGCTTCCGTGCCCAAGAACAGTCCCAGGGATCTTTTCATTGCTCGACGGATGTAACCAACCATCTTGTGTCAGGCTTTGACCAGAGCCAAACACTGAGCAGAGAAGATGACCTTTATTTCTAGCCAGCCAGAGCTCATCTGCCTCTCTCATGGAGCTGGTGTTTGCCTGATGCAGCAGTACCAGGACTGAGGGCCCTTCTCGTGTGCTCCTCCATGACTAGGGGAGAACATCTGATAATCCATTTTACATCCACTTCATACCCAAATACCCAGTTACACTGCACACCAGGATTTGTCCCAGTTACTCAGAGCCAAGGACACAGATGCTGTAGGCCCTACCATAAGTAAAGATCTGGGTTTCCGTTCCCCCTGGAGGGACTGATAAGACCCCTGACCTTTGAGCAAGGCTTGTATTTGGGGTCCTGTCACCTAGGACTTCATGGACAAGTTCTCGGCACTTTTCTCTTTTCAGAAGTCCTACAAAACCGAGCTGAAGATCAACGTTCGTGGGAACAGCCAGCTCCTTGTGCTGCACATCTCAGGACAGGGTCTGGAGCCACGGCTGGAGTTCAGCCCCACGGAGATCAAGCTGGGAGCGGTGCTTCTGTGCGGCCCTGAGCTGGAGAGGACAGTGGTGGTGAAGAACCCCTGCGAGTTCCCCACTGAATTTTACTCCCTGGAGTTTGACGAGGAGTACCGTGAGGAGGAGAAGGTGAGAGGGAAGGTCTGGTCCCCATGTGTGTGCTCCCCAAGCTGTGCAGCACTCCAGCCTTCCCAGGCTTGTGCCAGGGAGATGGAGGCAATCCCCAGGGCAAAGCCTGGTGGCACTTTGAGGTGAGCCATCCCTGCTGGCAGTCTGTGGAGGGGCTTGGATAGCCTGTGTTGTTGGGAGGAAGGAAGGAGGGAGAAGATGGGCTGAGTCTGTTGGTATGATGGAGGTTGATAAAGGAATCTTGTGGATGGTTTCTCTTCCCCACACGCACAGATCCTGCGGACGCTGGAGGAGTTTGGAGACCGGACGGCCGTGGTGATGCCTCCACGCGCTGTGGGTGAGAAGCTGCCCCCAGAGGTGCTGGAATATTATGAAAAATGGAAGAAGATGGAGGCTCTGGGTCAAGAGATGTTCAAGCGCAAGGAAGAATCAGGCGAGGACAATGGTAAGGCTTTGGCATTGGCTGTTCTGACTGGGGACATAGCAGGGAGCCCAGCCCATGCACCCTGAGCTCTCCGTCACCTTGTTCTCCATGCAAAGCCCATGCTTTTAGCAGCCATCTGACCTCCTGCCTGGTGGAGGAATTCCTGGGTGAAGGGCTGTGGCATCCTCTGCCAACCTGGAGTGTAGCCAAAGCCAGCTCCTATCTGCCTGCCACAGACTGGGGAAGTAGTCAGGATATCCCCTTGCGTCCCTTAGCCACAAAGAGTAGCATCAGATGAGCTCTTCAGCCAGTAGAACCAGGTCTAATATCACTGGCTCTTTTCTATTTGCTCCTTCCCAGCAACAAAAGCACAAGCTCCTGTTGCTTTCGGCCGTCTCCTTTCCTGGGATCGGAGGGGATAGGGAGGATGATCAGGATCCAAGGTAGGCAGGAGGCTGACTTTTCTGCTGGTTCTGCACAGCAGCACTTCAAGAGAGCATCAGGTTGTTGAAGGACATGGTGGACGAGTGTGACAGGCCCATCCGTCAGGCCGTCAGGCGCTACCTCGACACCAATCCCGTTGGAGAAGAGCTCAAAGCCCAAATGCCCAGAGGGATTGCCATCATCGTCTATGGGACCCCGCGGACAGGTACGGGAGCCACAGCCCTGGGCTGCAAGGAGAGGGGGAAGCAGGAGAAATGCATCCTGGTGGAGCGTGGTGCCTGAGACAAAGTCCTCAGCTGCATACGAGGTGGAGATGACCCACCTGGGGCTGGAGTTCAGTGCTCGTAACCGTGCTCAAGCTGCCTCCCTCGTGGTCTCCCCTAGAAGGGCACTTGCTTTCCCACCGTCCTTGAAAGCCGTTTGTGAGTTTCCAGAGGCTGTCCCTGAAAATGCCTCCCGTGCAGGTGTCACCAAGCAGTCTTCCTCTCTCTCTCAGGAAAGACAAGGGCGGCGGCCGCCCTGTCCAAGTATTACAGTGCCGCCTGCTTGTCCCTGGCCGAGGTGGTGACAGAAGCCATGTCGGACGAGCGCAGCTCGGCGGGGCGCCGTGCCCGGGAGCTGTGCGTCGAGGCTGCCCGTCAGCAAAGAGCCAGGAGGGAACAGATGCCGGGTAAGGAGAAACGCTGCACCCAGAGCATGCTTAGGAAACCACCACGACCGTCCACTTCTGCTTGCTCAGAGAAATGGTTTGGCAGCCCTCGGGTCTCTTAGGGAACATGGGTGCTGTGCATCTCTGGCTAGTTTGAAAACAGAAAGCTCGATTTGAAGGGCTCCCACAGGGGCACTTTTACTGCCATTCTTGGCACATATTCCTTTTTCTAGGGGTGGTGAAGCACACCTGTCTCTTTCTCTGAATTTTTTCTATTTCCTCAAAGCTGAATCCAGCTTGCTGCTCATGGGCAGCAGGCAGAACCATTGCCCACCTTCAGAAGGAAAAAGCCCTCTGAAGTGGCTCATTAAGCACAAGACAGCTATGAGTGTGGCTTTGCAAATGTGAGAGGAAGGCAAGAATAAGCTCCTAGAGGAGTTTCCAATGAGAAACATGCTGTAGATGAGCTCTTTTCTCCAGAGATTTTCCTATGCCCACTGTTGGCTCATGCAGCTTGTGCACGCTGTGCTGTTCTCCAGATCAGACTGGAGACTTTCAGGAAACTTTGCTGGCAGTTGGTGCCCTGAGCTCTGCAGGGTGAGGGCAGACCTGCTTAGTGTGGGGAGAAGTTTTGCATTGCTTTGTTTTGAACCTGGTTGGGTTCAGAGCTGGTGGAAGGAAGAAGGGTGTGGATCCCAGCTGGGGTTTTCCCACACGGAGGATTTAGCTCCAGCAGAGAGATGGGTGATGCAGCTGGGGCAGGGCTGCATGTTACAGTCTCCATGTGAAAATGCAGGATGGGTGCAAGGTATGGAAACAATGGTCCTGGAGGGCAAATCTTTGGCTTGATCCGTAGGGGAACTACTGTGCTAGCAGTGTCACCTGCGTGCACGTTTGTTAGGAGGGACCTAGGGCTGGCTTTAAAATCCAGTCTGGGCTGGTGTGCTGTATCCTGCTGATAAGCAGGGAAGGAGCTGCTTCTGGGAAGCAGTGCTGCCAGTGCCCAGCAGGCTGGGGGACAGGTGCCATGTCCCTTCCAGGGGCAAGGCTGTGCCCATTGGGGTGGAAGGTGCCTGCTCGCTCCTCACAGCCCTGCTGAGCCATCTGTCCCCTCTGCAGGTAAAAAGGGTGCTGAGGCCAAGAAAACCCAGCCCAGCCCTGGGGACAAAGCCAGCCAGAAGACCCTCAGTGCTGGACACCAGAGCACTTCAGCAACCAAGGATAAGGCATCTGACAAACCCCAGGCAAGATTTTCAGTGCCCTCCAAGGTGAAACATGATCTGCACTGGTTAATGCCTGGGACCTTCCTGTTGCTGTTGAGATGGGAAGGGGCTGCTTACAGTGGAGGCTCCCTGTCACCAGGGGCCTGGTGCAAGGTCTACAGTGCCAAGGGCCAGCTGGGCATGGCTTGGGGTGGGAATGTGCTCTGGCAGAAAAGCACCATTGGTTCTTAATGGTTTGTGGGCAAAGTGCATTCCTGGCTGACTTGGCTGCAGGCGGCGAGCAAAGCTGTGGGAGGCTGTGCCGGGGGCTTGCAAGCTTGGGTCTCTGCTGGCCAAGGGACGGGCCCTCCAGGGCCTGCACTGCAGGGTTGCCCTTGTCTCCGCTAGCGAGGAAGCCCAGATGTGAGCCCAGCACTGGGAACTGTCCAGGGCTTTCTGCAGGGGTTTATTTTCCTTACCATGCTCCACATTGCAGATGGCAGCCGTTTCCTGCGCCACCGCTCCTGCGCCACAGTGACTGACCATCCTCACCAGGACAGGGAGAAAGGAGGAAAAGAGGAAGTTTTGGAGCTGTGTGCTGCCCGAGGAATTGCTGGTGGAAATCATCTCTGAACGGCTGCAGGTACGTGGCGTGGGGGAAAGGGAGACATTCCTGCTCCAGAGAGACAGGCAGTGAGGTACAGCTCGGAGAGGAGGAGGAGGAGGTCTGTGCCTGCTGCTGGAGGATCCTGTGCCGCATGAGGGATCCTTGGGGGAAGGTGCAGATGCCCTAAGTTGGCAGATCCAAGCTGGTCGTAGCTAATGCACTTGGAATGACAGTGACTGGTGTCCTGAGACATCTGCATTTACTGACCCGCTGCGAGCCCAACGTGTGCGATGGCTGACTCGCTGTTCCTGTTTGTCTCTCCTGGCAGCTGAGTGACTGCTACAAGGGAGTGGTGTTTGATGGCCTGGAGACCCTCTTTGCGAGCAGCCTGGCATCTTCTCTCCTGTGCGTGCTCAAAGCTGTCAGCAATCGCCCTCATATCCACGTTGTGAACATCTTCCAGGATTCTGAGTTTTGGAAAGGCAGGCAGATAGCTGCAAGAGAGAAGAGGGCAGCTAAAAAAGAGCAGAAAGGTGAGATATCTCCACCCCTCTCAAATCTCTCTCAAGCCCTCAACCTTAGCTGTGTGTATCTGGGTTTGCAGCAGAGCTTGTAAGAAATCTTTTTATTGATCCTTCCACCTTCTGCCTCAGTGTAGCCAGCACTCAGCTCACAGCTTCTTTACATACAGCAGAGCTGAGGCTGTAAGACTCACCTTAATCTCCATCATTAAAGCTTGGGTGCAAGTGCAAGCTGGTGTGGCTCAGTGAGCAGCCCCCAGCCAGCTGTCCACAGCCGTGGTGCACCTGAGCCAGGCCACAGTTTGGGGGGCTGTCTGAATTCTGGAGCAGGGATGTGAGCTCCGCAGTGTCTCCTGGCAGGGTGAGAGGCTGGGTCAGGAAAGAGCTGTGAATCCTCCCAGCTGACCCAGAGCCCCAAGCTCTGCTCGCAGTCACTGATGGCTTCTCTTGTGGTCTGTGCTGCAGCACGGGAGAAGGAAGAAGCTGCCCGGAGAGAGGAAGAACGTCTCTGGGATGTGGATGTGGACGAGTACGAAGCCCTCTCTGAGAAGCAGACAGCTCTGCTTGATTACAAAATAGAACAAATCAAGCGTGAGCGGAGGGAGAGGTAAGTAAACCTCCCCTGGGTTACTCCTCAGGGTAGTGTCCCTGGAGGGTTTCTCTGCTCCAAGGACCTTGGTTGAGCTCAGAGGGGTTCAAGAGCAAAGGCCAGAAGCAGCACAAGGATGGCCAGGTCCAGGTCCCCAGTTCCCAAGAGAGGAAGGACTTTCCTCTGTTGAGATGAGAACATCATCTCTCCGTTTTAGCCGTGAGCCCTCTGGCTTAGACATGGCCTGAGGGGAGTTGGGCTCTGGGCTTGCCTTGCCACTGCCCACGGAAGTGTCTCGAAGTGCGTGATGTTGGTTCTCATCTTCATCGTCCCCCTTCTTCACCAAACCCGCAGGATTGTGGTGTGGGCTGGTGTGGGACACAGCTGTGCTGGCTTGCTTTAGACCCCAGTCCTGCTCTAGATGAAGTCCTTGCAGTGCTGATGTGCCAGGGCTTTCCTTAGGGTGGAGCACCATCCATAAAAGCTTAGGCTGCCCTTCAGCTGCAGCAGCAGGTGAATTTGGGAGAAGCTCTGGCCCAGCAAGGCAGCCCAGCTCAGGAGGACGCACAGGAAGAGTGTGGAGCTGGGAGGGGAAGCTGCTTAAAGTGAGCCTGTGTTTCAGCACTTCTCTCAGCCCAGGCTGATGTTTGTTGTACTGGGAGGAGATGGCCAGGACTGCTTCAAATCAGTTCCCAGGACAGACAGCACGAGTGTGCCCTGGTCACAGCTGTGTTCCAGCAGGAAACCTGGTGAATCAGAGCCTGATTTGCAGGAGGGGACTTCCTGCAGCCTTTGCTTTCTGATTGCTATGATTATTCTCATTAATGAGCAGGCTCTGCCCAGGGAGAAGGGGGCTGAAGGAGCCAAGTAAGCATTGGAGGAGGGATAAGTAGGTGTTAGCAATTTATGGGCAGGTCTAAACTGGGAAACCAAGAGAGGAGCAGCATCAGTCATCCCTGCAGAGAGATGGTGGATCAGCCTTTGGCAGCGTGCTGGAGGTGTCCGGGTGGGTCTCAGGGGAGAAATTGCACAGTTGATACCTTCTGATGGCAAGGCTTAGGTTTGGCTGGCCCAGGAGGTCGCCTCCCAGCCTTCCTCACCTGGGATGTTCCCAAGCTGTCTGGGTTGAGGAAGGTCCACGGAGATGGTCTGACAGTTCTGCCTGGCCTCAGGGTCAAGGAGTGAAGGGCGAAGCCAGCTGGGATTACAGCGAGCCCAGGTTTCTGGTGGAGACCCTCAGGGGTGTTTTCTCTTTGGCTTGCAGAAGGGAGCTGGAGCGGCTGGCTCGAGAGCATAAGGAAAGCAAAAAGGCGTCATCATGAGCCTCAGAGAAGCAAGATGGGCAGCAGGTTGGGAAGAGCTGCTGCCCGAGGGATGGACTCACACCAGAGAGGTCCATCAAGGACTGTCTCCCGTGGGAGGGACCCCACGGGAGCAGGGGAAGGACTCCAACTCCTCTCCCTGAGCAGCGGCAGAAACAACAACTGACCGTGACCCCCATTCCCATCCCCTCCCATCTCCCTGCTGGGGGGGAGGAGGGACAACATGGAAGGAAAGGGGGGGGAAGGTGTTTTTAAGACTGTTTTTTTTCTCACTCTTTGGCTCTTATCCTGTTAGTATTAAATATAAGTACTATCCCCACTTGGAGTCTTGTTTTGCCCGTGAAGGTGATCAGTCACTGACCTCTCCCAGCTCTTAGCTCTACTCAGGAATTCTTAGCTGGTTTTTTTCTCTGTCCTCTGTCCAGTTGCAGAGGGAGAGTGAGAGAGTGGCTTTAGTGGGTACCTGGTATCTGGCCAGGGTCAACCCATTACAAGAATATAAAAAGAAGTAATTTTTTTGGCCTTGTTCTGATGCAGTTAAGGAGCTGGAAAACCAAGACTGGTGCAGGGAGGTCCAAAGCATGGCTTTGGGTCTGGATGATGGAGACATCACATTTAGAGGGAGACAGACTCTGCCGTTGCTTTCCTAGACTTTGTCCCACCTTAATGGTGTTTTTCCACCCACAGCAGCATTGCTGGGAGATGTTGCAGTGGCACATCCCCCCTTCTCTGCCAGGGCAGCATCTTGGCCCTTCCCACCCCACCATGGATTTTCCATTCCTGTGGCAGGGACTTGTCCCCACCTGCTATCCAAATGGGAAATGCAACTCCTGGGGGTGGCTTTCATGGTTCCACCACAGGCTGGCACAGATTCTGATCCAGCTTTGAGAAATTGTGTGGTCTACGTGTTCTGGATAAAGCTGTCCCACCTTTGCACGTTCTGACCCAAGAGAGTTTCGGTGGCCAGTTTGTGTATCAAAAGCACTCGGTACTAAAATGTACCAAGTTGCACCTGTGGACAAATCTGCACGAGCTCAATGCCCTGCGTACCCACACAGGCTTTTCTGTCTCGAATCCTGCTCATTGCGTGCCTGAGACTGGATTTATTTCAGCAGCTAAATGGTTCACTGGAGGACTAATTGGCTCTGAGAGCTCCAGTCCTTTGTGACAGATTATTAACCCTTCCCCCTTCATTATAAAACCATGAACTGTAGAGAAATCAAATAGCACAGGGCCCCTGCGCCGAGCCCGTCAGTGCTCCCGGCTCGGTGTTCAGCACAGAAAGTCCCTTTTATAGTTGGGAAGCGGAGGGAGAAAATTCTGGAAGCGTGAGAACGCGGCGATAGCTGGGATGAAGTGGGAGCCCTTAGGAAAGGACTGGGAGGTACTGGGATAAACTGGGAGCCCCGGGGAAGGAACCGCCATTTGCGTAGCGCTGAGGGCAGGGCGCTTACGCCATTTGCGTAGCCTAACGCAGTTTACGTAGCGCCCCTCCCTTGCCGTTACCGGCGCCCCCTTACGCCGTTTGCGTAGGGCTGTGGGCAGCGGCGTTAGGAGGGGACTGGGATGGACTGGGAGCCCTTAGGAGGGAACTGAGAGCCCTTAGGGAGGGACTGGGACAAAGCGGGAGCCCTTTGGAGAGAACTGGGATGAAGTGGGAAAGGTCCGCGAGCCCTCAGGAAGCCACCGTGGCCCTCCCGCCATTTGCGTAGTGCTGAGGGCAGGGCCCTTGCGCCACTTGCGTAACTTGCGTAGCTTTACGCAACTGACGTAACTCCCCCTATTGCCATTACCGGCTCCCTCCTTACGCTGTTTGCGTAGCGCCGCAGGATTGCTGGCCCCCTTACGCAATTTGCGTAGCGCCGCTCCATTGCCGGGGGTGTCCAAAAGCTCCTCCAAAAGTCAGTTTATGGCTTTGCAGAGGGCTCTCGGGAGTCACCGAGGGGCTGAATGTAAAGAGAGAAAAATTAAATCTTTAGGGGGAAAAAAACATATAACAATTGCATGTCTGTGTTCCCGAGGAGCCGTGGGTGTTTTTAGGCAGCTGCCTGCAGAGGCCATCGCCATTTCGTGAGGCGGCATTAATGCAGCGGGAGGAGACTTGTTCTGCTGTTCACAGAAATTCGGATTTTAAGGTTTTTGTCCTTGGTTTGAAGCTTCTTCATTCTTCCTTTGCTCTATTTCAGAGCAAAGGCTTTCATTTTTAAACTTAAGGGGGAAAAAGTATTAACAACAAGTGAGGAAAACTAGGGGGAAAAGGGAAAAGTACTTCTGAAAGGATTACAACGTGCAAGCAAAATCAGTTCTCTCTCCAGGAGACAAAAAATATTAGAGGTGTAAATTGGCTCCAAAAATGCCCCCAGGGGCATAGGGAGGATAATCAGGATGACATCCTGGCTGAGCACTCAGCATCCGGGGCATGGCCCAGGTGTGCAGGGAAAATGCAGCTCATCAGGCATGTGTTAAACAGAGAATTTGTTTCTGGTATAAAAAGATGCCTGACTGGTCTGTGCACACACCAAACCAGCCCTTTGTGACTTGCACGGGCCGACTTGACTTCCAGGTTTTGAAACACTAGTTTTGATCTAAAAGCCCAGCCAATTGCTAGTGCTGCAGAATTTCTTGTTTGATGCAAGGAGAAAACAGGGATTGTGGCAGGAGCGAGGTCACGCAGATCCCCTTCAGTGCAAAACTCCTGGAGGGAGCTGCAGCATTTCTGTTAAGGGCCTTCTGTGTTGGAGTTGACTTCTTCCACTCTGGGACCTTTCACTTGCAAAGTACATTATGGGGCTCCTTTGTTTAACAAGTCTCTGGGAGCTGTGAGAGAGAGAATTAATGCTGGCATTTGGAAAGACAAGGGATAGTGCTGCATTGGATTTGGGTTTCATGTCATTATTTTCTGGGTCCAGAGTCAGAAAAAGCTGCTCATTTACTTTTCATGCAGCTGTACTGTTTTCTCCTGACTTCCTGAGGAGGCAGAGCTGATGAAATTGTGCTGTAGGAGGCCTGAAGCTTTTGATCTGATGTTCGGCTTCAACAAATTTCACTTGTGGAGTTTCTGCACTTTGGGGGAGGTTGCAGGTTATAGAAATGAATTAGTGCATCTGCTAAAGGAAGAGGAGTATTAGTCATATTTAAAACCAAGACTAAGTCAGATTCCTCCACATTGGCTGCAGCTGAATTTTGCAAGGTTTCTGATCTCCTCGTTCTGGCTGTGCAGGTGTTTCCTTTTCAAGCCTGTCACCTGCAAAGACTTCTCTGAGACAGTGATTTCTTCATGACAGAAAAGCAATGTAGAGAAACCTCTTTGCTACCCCAAGATCATTATTTTCTTGATTGCCCTCTTGTACTCTGCTGAGGTTCCATTACATCTGCAGGTCAAATGTAACCTGACTGCAGCACTGATCACATAGAGCAATAAATATAGTACAGAGCTTTAGTGTGAACTTCATGCCCATCCTTGGTTTGTTTGTGTAAGACTGTGTATTATACAGACAATATAAAGCATAAAATAGTTTTCATCTATAGAAATTACTTTTCCAGCACATACTAATGTGCCTTTCATAACCTCCTAATCAGGTTATGTTTTCTCCTAAACTTAATTCCTCTTTATGACCAACAGTTGAGTCGACTTCAGGTTCATTTTTGGTTCCAATTTTCATTCTGTTCAGTGTGTGTATATATATGTATACACAAGAAGATAGTCCTTTATTAATCTTTTGAGCAGAACACTTTTCATTCGTGCAGCAAAAGTCCTGTCTCTGAATGTTCATTATCAGCACCTGATGTGCTGCCTGGAGCACAATATCCTAATAACTGGAGTTTAAGAAAAAAAAAAGCCATTTATTAAAGTTACAGTGTTTCATTTCTGTGCATGTTCTGATTCGGAATTATTCAAGCATTTGACTGCTCCTACACACAGAAACTTATGTCTCCCATGCATTTTTGCACCCCAAAGTGTTCTCTGGTTTCCTTTGTCTCCCACACTACGTCAGAGTATTCAAATGCACTGTGCAGTCCCAGTAGCATGTGGCACATTACAAGAAAATTTGAGACAGTTTCGCCGTTAAATGCATTTTATTTTGACCTATTTCCTTCCACTTGAGTCTCACATTTGGTCTCTTCATAGCCAATATTCTGTTTTATGGAAAGGTTTTAAAGTTTTCCTGAAGGAGATGAGTAAAAGGTGAAGTACCCAAGACAACCTAAATTTATATTATTCCTTTTGCCATTATTATTAAAAATAGGAAAGAAGAAGAAGTGTTGGGGAAAATACAGGGAATGCTGATGCAATTATACCTACATGTGCAAAGCTACGTGCTTGCTTTTACTCTTGAAATTTAGACCTCTGCTTTCCTTCTACAGACTGGGACAGTTCGTTTCAGTTGCATTTTGCAACTACTGACATACATGTTCATTCCTAAATTCACTTCATATGCTTCCAAATCCTTAGGACAACATTCAGTTTAGGCACACCAAGAAAAACCTGGAGTGATTCCACCGACCTAAATGTAATTACTCAGTGCTGAATTAAAGGCACAGGTGTGTAACTTAAGACCCATGTGTTTGGAGTAACAAGGAGAGATCAAAATCTCAGCTTTTGTCATTAAAATTAATGTTTCTAGACCTTAATCCAAGACACATTTGTAGAGAGAGGTGATAGCTTCTTTTTAGAGGCATTATTATTATTAAACAGTGTTTTCTTGGACTGCTCACGTTTTCTCCCAACTCACCCTCTAACACTAATCTGTGTCTAAATATTAAAAAAAAAGTGAGCTGTGAATGGTTTTAAGCTGAGACAAGATTGTCACTGTTAATGGCTTGGTCAGAGAGAGAGAGTATTTGTTTCAGCATGTAAATCTCTTTCCTGCAACGCTTAAAGCTGCTGATTCTGGAGTTTAGGAGGCCAGCATGTCCAGAGCTGCTCTAGTCCCTGGGCTGATGAGCTCTCCCAGCTGGGTAAAGCTCTGTCAGGAGCCAGTTTGTAGTGAATTGACTGCAGGCAGAAAATAGAAAAGCTCATAGGAAACATGAGCCTGACTCAGGAGCTATTTCTGTTCAGGTGACATTCTAATCCAAGCGTGGGG